GATGGATGGATGATAGATGGATGGATGGATGGATGGATGGATGGATGGATGGATGGATGGATGGATGGATGGATGGATGGATGGATGGATGGATGGATGGATAGATAGTCTGTCTGCGTGTATTTGTCCATGTGTATAAGTTATAAACCTTGGGAAAAAACAGTTTGCACAGCTTTTACGTGTTTCAACTCTGAATGAATGATTAATCTTCTCCTAGCACTTCACTTTTGCCACATACAATATGGCAGCGACATCAACGTAAGATTCAGCGCTCAATGAAGCATCTACGTATATTTGCCTCCCGACTACCAGGAGAAATAAATATTTTCTACATCCAATATTTTATTGTTCATGAGGAAGCGAAAGGCACGAAAGCCCACCCTTTCATATTTGGTATCATGGAAAAGCCCTAAATGTCCTCTGTAGAGAGCTAAGTGAGTTAATTCAGTAGTATGCTGTGATATGTCTACGGTATTAAAAATAGGAATCAAAAATATAAAATTTGAACAATACCGGGAGAATCGTAATATTAGTCCCAGTTCCAACGATTCTCGAGACTCAATGCCCAATCCTAGTGGCAGGTGCAGCTTGGAGAACACGGAGGAGGCAGATTAAAACATTTCTTACCATTATCATCAACAGGGTTGCTGGTAAATAAATGGTCTGGTTTGGAGAGCTGAGAAAGGCTAACAAGAAACAATTAGGTCCTTATACTTGCAACACTCCCCCATTCTCTTTTTAACAATTTGTCAACTGGTTTATTTTTAACTTTAATTTAGAAGCAAGTTACAAGTCAGTGAATTAGACGCATATAAACAAACTGCCACAACGTCACAAAGTTGTCACAGTGATTTGTAAGTCCTAAATTAAAAGTCTTGTTTTATAGTTTTCAAATTGATAAGTTAAAGACCAGAAAGAAGTACATAACGTGACAGCACGGCAGTGTAAAAACTTACGGCTAGCTGTTGAGGACAACTTGTTACAGATACACAGTCAATCATTCAACTTAACGGACTTCTTTATGGAGTGGTGGAAAGAAGGCAGAAATCATGGAGACGCTTGTCTTAGCAGATTGAAATAGTTGGCCTTTTAAAGTGCTGACTCTCTCAAATTATGAAATGTTTTAAAAGTAGCGGACAAAAAACATGTGGCTTTTAGCGCAGTGTTTATTAATTTCTCACATGACCACGTAAAACAAATGCAAAATAGAGAGATTGGATTTTTTTCAATACTGAGAGCTGAATGATGCCTTCAGTTTGCTATGTTATACAGATTAAAGAAGCAGAACACTGGCAGCAACCTAAATCTAGCAAAATATTAACTAAAAGCTGAAAGTAGCAGAAGTCTGGCTAAAAGTTAAAAATTGCTAAATGCAGCAATCTTAAAGCTAACATAAAAAACTTAGCTAAAACCCATAAAAGCTTATCAAAGGGCTATAGTTAGAAACTAAAAGTAGTAAAATGCTGGCTAAAACCTAAAAGTATTAAATGGAAAACTAAAAATTAGAAGTAATAAATGACTAAGCTAAAAATAGCAAAATTAGCTAAAAAAAACTAAATAAAAAAGGCTAAAAATGATCAAAAGACTAGCTAAATGCATCAAAAGACTAGCTAGAAGCTAAAAGTAACTAAAAGTAACTAAAAACTAAATGTGGTGGAATGGTAGCTAAAAGTAGCAAAATGCTAGTTAAAAGCTAAAATTAACCAAATGCTAGCTAAAAGCTACAAGTAGCAAAAGGCTAGTTAAAAGCTTAAATTAACTGAAGGCTAACTAAAAGATAAAAGTAGTTAAAGTTAGTTAAAGCTTAAACTAACCAAATGCTACCTAAAAGCTAAAAGTAGCAAAAAGCTAGTTAAATGCTGAAATTATTAGAACACAAAAACTAAAAGTAGCAAAAGGATAGTTTAAAGCTGAAATTAACCTAATGCTGGCTAAAAGCTACAAGTACCAAAAGGCTAGGTAAAAGCTTAAATTAACTGAATGCTAGCTAAAAGCTACAAGTAGCAAAAGGCTAATTAAAAGCTTAAATTAACTGAATGCTAGCTTAAAACTAAAAGTAGCAAAAGGCTAGTTAAATACTGAAATTATTAGAACACAAAAATTAAAAGTAGCAAAAGCATGGTTAAAAGCTTAAATTAACCTAATGCTAGCTAAAAGCTAAAAGTAGTAAAAGGCTAGGTAAAAGCTGAAATTAACAGAAGGCTAGCTAAAAACTAAAAGTAGCAAAAAGCTAGTTAAAAGCTCAAATTAACAAAATGCTACCTAAAAGCTAAAAGTAGCAAAAGGCTAGTTAAAAGCTGAAGTTAACCATAGCTAAAAGGTACATGTAGCAAAATGTTAGTTAAAAGCTCAAATAAACAGAATGTTGTCTAAAAGTAGCAAAAGGCAAGTTAAAAGCTGAATTTAGCAGAGCATTAGGTAAAAATTCAAAGTAGCATAAGAAGACACAAATAGAGCATGATGAAGCAGATTTTAGAGTGGCCCATGTTTATGAAGGAATTTAAGATGTCTCTGTGTTTCTACGGGGCAAATGTTTGTAAATAAAGTGAAATATTTTAAAAAGTTTAAACCAAAAGTCAATCACACCCATGAGGCTAAATGAGCATCTTCTCAGACAAAGAGAGAAAAGAAAGAGATGAGACATTTGATACAAAAACAGGGACAGGTTGAAAACACACACACACAAAACAAGGTTCTTCTTATTCCCCAAACACTTTTTAATTTCACTCCGTGTTCATAACTGGAGTAGCTTTTGTTCCAGATTTTAATATCAACATAAAAGGTTGACAAAGAGGACAATCGGTCAGTGTCCCATGTGTCTTTGTCTCCCTGCTCTGCACCTCTGTGGCCCTGTGAGCTCTCCCAGCATGCTTTTCTCACGCTGTAATGTCACACCTGAGTATAAGGTGACTCTCTGGAGCTTCAGGATTTGAGGTCATCTTTGCACCACTGTGCTGGGAGGCATGGTGCACACACACACACACACACGTCTTTAACAGCACTTTACACAGAAGGAGGAAGTGTTGCGCTGTAGTTCTGTGAAGCACAAGCGTGCACGGAGTCTCTCCAGTGACACAACACTTTGTTATCACAGCAACTACATACCAGTTGGTGACTGGTTTGTTTGAATGGAGAGTATGATCCTCAATAAAGTAAACCCATTCACATGTTTATATTTGTATACGCCTTGTGCACACGACACAGGAAAGTCCCCTGATGCGTCACCATCATGTGTACCTTGGACAGGTGTTGTCACCTTGACGCTATAATGGCTGCGCTGAGGAAATCTTACTGGTTCCTGTAAAACACAAAATATAACTTACAAAGGGATATCGCTCTGCTCCTAGAAACACAGGATGAAGACGTCTTTGTCCTTCAGGTCAGCTGTAGATGCTCTTCACATCTGCACTTTATTCTAAACCCTGTCAGACAAACGCACTGCAATCTGGGATGTCTCTTGATTCCCACAAACGTTAATAATCTGGTGGAGGCTGAAAGTACATTTTTGCGCAGAGAACGTGTCTTGGCTTGAAAAGCGCCTCAGATTTGCAGCTTTGAGACTTGATGTGATTTCAAAGTTCCTTTCCAAGCAGACACAGATTAGTGTTTTCACCAGAAAGTTTTTTTTAAAGCTCGTTAAATACGGGCTGTAAATAGAAACTGCTGATCAGCAGACGGGTGCTGATAAAACTTCTGAAGAAGCAACAAAAGCAGCGACTGCTGTCTGAGTTCACAGCTAAAGGTTTTAGACAGGATCTTAATTATCATATTTTATGCTCTGGTTTAATGTGTGACTGCATGTAGCTGATTTTAGTTTTTATTAGAGAATGGTTGATGGCTTCATAAAAAAATATTTAGCCAGGTACACATGTTGCAAAATACAATCAGGGATATTTTTTTTTTATTATTCCTTTACTTTCCCAATAAGTTCATATAGTTAGCATTCCTAATGGAAACAATAATACTCTCGTGACATAACAAGTATTGTTGCATTTACCCGTATTTTCACTGCAGAAACACAAACATCACTGAGCTTAAAATAAAAACTTCAGCTCTATTTTAGTCAACTTCTGCAGAAAGCAGATAAAAAGCAGTTGACTCCATGTTGAATGATTTGAGTTATTTAATGACAAGCGATGATCGTAAGAAATCAGGGCAACCGGTATCTGACTTTAAATGGCATTTTTTTGGAAGGGGGGGAGGCAATATATATTTATATTTAATAAAATGTAATAATAGTTACTTAATTCAAATAACCATATATTTAACTCCAATTAGAAGAGCTTGTACACCTAAAAGTAATATGAACAGTCTTGCTTATAAAAAAGCTAAACTGTGGACTACAGTCAGCTGTTCTATCTGCTGCTTCTTCATTTTCCTATTTGGAGCTGCTGCCTCTCAGCGAGCAGGTCCCTGGTTCAAACCCCGGTCCAGGGGCCTTTCTGGGTGGAGTTTGCATGTTCTCTCCATGAATGCATGGGTTTTCTCCGGGTGCTCCGGTTTCCTCCCACAGACCCAAAACATGCATGTTAGACTGATTGGTAACTCTAAATTGTCCCTAGGTGTGAATGAGAGAGTGAATGGTTGTTTGTCTCGTTTGTCTCCATGTGTCCCTGTGATGGACTTGCGACCCGTCCAGGGTGTACCCCGCCCCTCGCACAGTGATTGCTGGACATGGGCACCGGTGACCCCCGTGACCCAAAATGGAAGAAGCGAGTAAAAGATAATGGATGGATGGTAACAGATAATTTATGTACAGGCAGGACTGTTTTTGGTTTGTTTGTTTATTTTTTTTTTAAGTGACCAATATGAACTGATTAAAACTGGTGGACCAAAAAAAAAAAAAAAAGAAAATCAGTCTGTCTCTAGTGTTGATGTTGTCCTTTACATCAAATTCATTTGCATATAAAATATATAATATATATAAAAATTCATTTATATATATATATATATATGTGTGTATGTTTATATATGTGTGTGTGTGTATGTTTATATTACATTGTTTTGTTTTTGTATGAAAACTTTAAAGGGCCAAATGTGGGTGATTCAAAGGCCACTCCTGGCCCTCGGGCCACATTTTGCCCGTGTGCAGTGGGTGCTCTATAAATGAACACTTTCATCATCATTGACACTTTTCTTTTATATAACTTTGTATAAGTAGGACTACATGGACACAATATGATTCTTTTTCATTGATATAATTGAAGAATAAAAACACTTTTATATTAAAAAAAACATATAAACATATAATATATATAAAACAAGTCTGTTCTTCAGTTCTGTTTCCTGATCCTCAGCTCACATCATATATTCAAGTTTTTATTGTCAGTAATAGCTGATAAAATTCATTAAAACTCATTATGTGACTTCATACGTCTTCTTTAAAATATAAATCCCAACAGATTTGACCCTGTAAAATAGAAATACAGTGTTTATTTGTAGTTGTCTTCAGGCATGCCACCTTCCAGAGGTTCAGCTGCACAGACACTGAGGATGACGTCTAGTTGTTGTTTTACAGCCCTCTCTATCGGTGGCACACATGGAAACAGCTTATGTTTGGAAAACGAAACAAAATCCCTCTTTCTGCATAAACAGTCACTGACATATGTGCAGCAGAAATGTCGAGCAAAGTTCAAAGACTGTTTAAAAAGAAACCTGTTATTTTTATTTTATTATTTTATTTTATTTTTTTATTTTTTTTTTTGGGGGGGGGGGGGATATGTAATAAAATGCACAAATAGTTGTGTAAGTTGAATTAATTTCCTTCTGAGAATAGTAAAATAAAGTTCAGTTTACATTTTTATTTTTCCCCACAATTATATTCGTTAATGTTTCTTAATCGTACGACAATTTGTGTGTGTGGGAAATGCAAAAGAAAGCAACTCGTGTTAGCAAAATATCTCGTGTATAGGACTTCTAATAAAAAGTAATATTTGGGATGACTGACATTTGGAGCAAAAGTCAATATGGCTACCACATCATAAAAACACAAAAAAATGACTCCAGCTCAGTGTAAGTTGGACAAAAGGCGGCGGGCGATAGGCATTCCTTACAGGAACGCTGCAGGAGAAGCACAGTAAACAAGTGGCGCGTGCGCGTGACACGGCTGCGTCATGATTTCGTTTCTCCCGAGAAGGAAAGCGAAAGATGTTAGGTTTCTGTTTCCTGAGCGTGTTGGGCTGATAAAAGGAGTGGGTCAGCAGAGCTGCTGATCAGAAGCTGTTGAAGCAGCAGGACAGCAGAG